GAGCCACAATGGCCACTTGTCGTCACTCTATGCAAAGCTTCTACTGTAGCATTTGCTCTTCCCTGAGCATTCCCTTTGTATCTACTCATAGCAATGACAAATGCTAGGTAGGTGGAGAGAATACCGTATCTGAGTGCATTCTGGTTCACTTCCTTATCCAGCAGCCAAACCCTACTTCATTCTGTGATCTCAGCAGCAGATTACAATAAAGGCACACACAGCAATTATATTGATTTTAATTACTGGTGAATACTGCAGGGCACTGGATGTTTCAGGCTGTGTACCAAAGGGTAAACAAAATAAGTTTATGGGTTTTTTCCTTCAGATATAAACATAATGCAAGTACAAATCTTTCTTATAGTTACAGATCCTAAATCTGCCATGCTTCAATCCCCAGAAACTGTTAATGAACACGAACAATCTCCAGTGTACCTTTTCAACAATTTCCACTGTCAACAAATATCACTAAGAGCAGGTCTGACAGGTTTTGAGTTTATGGGAAGTGGCCAAGGGGCACTGAGATCCGTCAGGATCTCAAAGGAGATGTGCACATTATACACTGTTACTTCAGTCACTTAAGACGAGCTACTCAGTCACTGAGCATTTCACACTGTCCACTACAGACAGAAAAGAACGAAAGTGATGTCATTGAGATGTCTGGAGAATAAATGGGAAAGACAAACTGAGCATGAACATACAGTACACTTTCATCTAACCGTTACAATAAACAGAGTGAGATTTTTGAAGCTATTTTCTACACTGTGCCACCTCTGACAGTGCATCATCTCTTACAGTATATACTGAACATATGTGTCTATAATCTGTGAAGTAAAATATTTGCCTTTGGAGTAGAAGTATAATGTAGTAGAACATTTAAATCCTCAAGCAAAGTAAAAGTGACCCACAAAATTGTACCTAACTTTATGAAATGCTTCGTCACATACCACCACTTAAAAAAGTTGGCTCTAGAAAAGCAAAGAATTTCAAAGGTACAAGTGAAAAAAGTTACTCCAAGCATAACAAGCCAACTGTACCCGGTGTATACTAGCAGCAAAACATATGCATTCAACTTAGTTTGCATTTGTCACTGTGGTTGTTATTAAATGCATGTCTGATGTCACATTTAGTATTTCCTTTCTTCTCAGGACTCTAATAGTGGACATGGACCTGTTATTGGCTGTCAGTGTGAATCCTACTATGTTTTTTATTCAACAAAAACAATATTAGTAGTTAGGTAAATTTTTTTATCTATTGTAAAATGAAGGTAAATGTACCAAAAAACTGTTTTTATCAAGATAGCGCTAGTGCTACAGAACAGGTTTACAGTTAAAAACTATTTCTAGACTGCAGATATTCTTCCTTCAAAAAGTGCACAGGCACAAACGCACTAATCTGTAACATCTTCAGTTTCTACTGTAACACTGATAATAAATGAAAAATATGGTAAGAAAACCAACCTTGAAGAATTTAGAAGGTGAAGTAGGGTTGCCTCGCTGAGTCATGTCAAAGTTGATCATGGAGGTGGACTCACAACAAGGGTCCCAATCCGATTCAGTCGGGAAAGCGCACTCTGTGGAAACACTCAGCTGGTCGTAGCTCCTGGTAGACAGAGACAGGAAGCACAGACAGGGAGAGGGAAGGGGAGAGGGACGGAGAGGATGTTATATATATATCATTAGACTTTGTTTCACTTCTCGCTTATTGGCTGTCAGTGTTATGTTTTTGTTATGCTGGCATCAAACCCCTTGTCATTAAACCGCATAACAGTATTATTTTTTCTTTTTGTAATATATATATTGTTGAGCACAGGGACAGAATTTAAGGGATTAGCTGCACCAAAACTTGTTTTAATTGAAAAAACTGCTTATATGATGATAAGCTGTCCCTTGCTGTGGCTTGTGTGGAACATGTTAGTGTTCTTGGGGACTGACGTCACTAAATGTTCTTAATATCAGTGATGTTATGCATTCTGCTTTTGTGCTGAGCTGGAGAAACATGCAAAGGAAGCTGACATTATGACACCTGATGGACAACATTCACTCCCAGGTGGCAAACCACACACACCGACTAATTAGAATGCCATCGAGCATTTTAGAACACGTGTACTGTTATAGTACTGTTATAGCACAGTACTGTTATATGACCAAGTGTCAGGGGCTCAGCTGCAGTTAGCAAGTCCACAAACAGCCTCCAGGTGTAACGGCAACTATTTTGTCCAAGTGCAATATATCCAGATATCAGAATTTGCTTTTGCAGCAACACTGTGCATTATGGGAGATGCTGGAGTAGAAAAAAAAACCCATTGTTTGTCAAGAGAGAACTGCATTATCAAAGCATATTGTTGGCAGCTGTGTCAGAAATTTTACATTAGCTCCCTGTAGTAGCAGCCACCAGGACATGAGTCTCTGCAATGTTGTGATTCCCCACAAGGGGGAAGCGCTAGACCAGCTTTCTGGCAACACTGGCAGAAATTCAGTGTTTTGACCTAAATTACTGTTTGTCTTTGTTGAAATGTGCCAGGAATCTGAAGTCAGGAGGCGTTGTTAATGACCAGTGTACTAAACAGGGAACATATTCTGACTAGCATGGAGATGAACACCCAACCTTTTCAGAGCAGTTTATTGGGAATAAAGATATAGAAATTTGTTGCGAAGACAAGATGAATAAATAATGTAGCAGACACTGGGCTAGATCTAGGACTTGCTCTATGCTTTCAGTCTGTGAATGGACAGAGTACTACAACAGCAGAGAGCTCACAGACATTCTGCCATATGTACACTCTTTGTGCAGGCTATAAACTGTGGAATGATCAACCAAGCCTCACCAGATATGACCCTCAGTAGCTTTACTGTAACTTTCAGCTTGATAAAACAGGAGATCATCTGACTGTGCACGGTGCTGTAATGATGGTACTTAGACAATCTATATATGTACAGTATAGCACATGAAGTTGTTTTCCTCTTGATGTGTTCACAGCAGGTGATTTAACAAAAACGTAATGCATTTGGTGAGACAAGCATCATAGTAAACTAAGGATAAAGTGTAAGATGGGTTTTTGGTTTGGAGAGAACATGAGCAGGCTGATGACAACTTCCTTTTACAGAAGAGAAAGCATACAATAAGCAGTTTAATGCAAAACTATGGATGTCCTATATTTTCTAAAATACCTTTCAACATCCCCCAAGAAACGAGCACAAACTTGATGCTTTCAATCAAATACAGCATTAAAATCACACCAAAGTCTGATCATGCTGATACATGTACAGTCATGGCCAAAAATATTGGCACCCCTGCATTTCTGTGCACCACTTCTCCAAGAAAATTGTCCAAAGGATGTGCTACCAAATATTAAGCTGAGGGTGTCAATAATTCTGTCCAGTCCATTTTTGGAGTTCTGTGTGGAATGGATCAGATTTGGCTATTTTCTCAGCTTTTTTGTGTCGTTCCAATGCAAACAAAAGAAACATGTCAAAGAATTTGTGATTGCAACATTTTCTGGGAGAAGTGGTGCCTTATCTGGCAGAAATGCATTGGTGCCAAGATTTTTAGCCATGACTGTAGGTGGAGGGAGTAACCACCAACAGTATCTTCAGTTCATACACTGGTTAAAACTGCTGCATCAAGTACCACAGCCCTGCTGAAATGCCTCCAGCATGTGAACCGATTTATAGTCTGGTGTGGGAATTCACATATTCACTGTTAAGGCACTGGTGCAACAGCAGATAGCTGTGCCCTGCACTAACCAAGTTGTGTCATGCATTCACTCAGTCATTTTCCAATATCACAAATTATAGGGTTTCTGAAAAGAAGGCAGCTTATGAAGGCTTTTTTTCAACTAACCTGATGCCTTTACTCTTAACGGTCTTGCTGGCAAGGGAAACATGGAGGAGTAAACATGAGCAGCGCTTGCTGACCAGTCACAGTACATGTGATCTCCACATGGGAGGAGGGGTGAGTTAGCTTCAGTTATGTAACAAGTGCAAGTGCAGCTTAAAAAAGTCAAATATCTCCTGCATTCGAACAGAAAAAAGTGTGATTAACTGCGAGTTAACTATGGACAATCATGCGATTAAATCTTTTAATCAACTGACAGCACTAAAAGAAACATGTATAACAGTGAAACAGAGCTGCATTGTTTGAATTCAGTGAAGGGAAAATATGACCTAAGCATCTTTGTTATTTTAAAAACCTTTAAGAATAACCACTGACTTTGTTTGAAGAAAAGTTACAGAATGAGTTGAGTGAGCTGTGTTTCCTTCACACTCAATCAACATGCAGACCAAGACCAGCTCCCAATTGCCTGAAACCTGACTGTGTTGTGCACAGATTAAAGCTTGATTGTTTTAGGCACAAAACGTATCTAATTTCAACAAGGAATGTTTTCAGACAAGCTTATCTTAAAGAAAACAGAGGCACCGATTGCAATTTTCTTGGCTGATTCTGATTTCCAATTTCTTTTAAGTCTGACCTGCCAATTCAGATTGTCTTTCTTTCTAAGAACTGTAATTGTCAGCATACACAGACAATTTTCTAACTTTCCTTTAATGAAAAATTAAACTGTAATACAAATAAAACATTGTATTAAGGTCCTTCTCACTCTTTTTACCCTCCAACTCAAAATGAAGTGCAACAGTTGTACTTCTCCAGATATAAACAGGTGCAACAGGTAAGAGAAACAGAAGAACGTCCGTCACTACTGAGCACACAGTTCTTTTCAAGTGTGTGTACTTTGTATCTCCTGTGTTTTACCTCGGGTTGGACACACTGTACATACACATGTATTTCACATGGAGTCATTAATTCCCTCACTGTGTACTATTTGTCAGGGTTCTGGAAGTAGTTTTCCCTTCTCCAGTGAGTTTCTGTAGGCTCCTCTGTGCACTGTTTGAACATCGAGTGCTTTAAATGCACTACTGAACACGTGTCCGGTACAGACATGAGCGCAAGATGCACGTGAGAAGCTACACATGCTACGCATTTGGTCTGCGCCACTGTGTGTGCTACATGGACTGTCATGCCTCTAAATCTGATCAGTATAGAATCAGAAATCAGAGTGATCGGCCGGTCACCTGTCAACGCTGATCATGCTGAAAACCGGCCATTTCCAATCTCTGCCAATTGATCGGTGCATCTTTAAGAGGAAAGATTTAGTTTATCACAGGGAGTCCACATGGAAAAGTATATAAAAAAAAAACAAACAAAACAAAAAAAACCCTAGTCCTTTTAAAGACAACAGTCGCTGTGAGATCAAGAAAGATTATCTCTAGATCAAGTCAGTTTTGAAATGATGCATTTCCTCATTCTCAAAACCAGTGGCCCCAGTAATAGAGTTACATCTTCATGCTAGAAACCTTAACCTGCTATAAATTAGTGAAGAGCAGCTGAGGTTGGTGGTTTAAATCTTGACCGCAAAATGGGTCACCAAGGTATTAAATTTCTGATGATGACATATGCCAAAGGCACTCGCGTACAACATTGCCCACATATTGTCAAATCACCCAAACCTAAAAATACTTTTCATTGATCCATTAAAACATGTATAATGTTAGTGTCTGCAGACCAACCCCCTCAACTTGCAGACTGTCCTCTACAGCTGTCACTTCCACCCATCCATCAACTATACTGCTTATTCTTTAGACATAACAGGGAGGCTAGAAATTATTCCAGCTACACCCTCGACAGTCTGTGACAGGGCTGACACACAGAGCCCACCACTCACATTCACACGTACAGGTGCTGCCAGTTAAGATATCGTGGGTATGTACTGTAAGGTGACAGGCGAAGGCAGAGATTGTCTAGCAGTGCCGCCATTTCTCCAATGTGCTCCGTGTGCCTGCTGCCCCTGACTGCACAGCTGTGTGTTCACTGAAGACATCTTATACAAAAATAAATATAATAATATACAAGTTACTGAAATTAAATATTTACACAAGTCACAACACATAACCCACAACTTGTTCTTACACTTCTTTTTTTTTTTTACAGGAAAAACAAAAGATATGATAAAGGTATACAATAAAATATAAAGTAAAGTACTCTATTATTCAGTGAGATTTTATTAGTTTTGGAAAAAAAACAGACTTTCCCTGTTTTCAGTTTCTGTTCTATGCCAGCTGCCTCATGGCTTAGCTTCATATTTAACATAGAAAGATGTATAGTATTGAATATCATCTCAGCTAGAAAGTGAATACGCATTATTTCAAAAAATACCAGCCTATTCCTGTGAGACACTGACCATTTAATTATACCGTCTCTCCTTTTCCACTCAAGTCTTGGTTGTTTCCACTGAACTATATTTAATAGGGAAACATTTTTAAAAACAAAGATGAAAACAAAGATGTAGAGAAAAGAGAAAATGCTCATGTTCTTCTTTAGTTTAGAGGTTTTTGTTACGTTGACAGCTAGTTTGGACATGGGAGCAAAGTAAAAACAGCACATTAACCTAGATTAAACAGTCAAAGTGGTAACCTTGTTGCATTGTTATTAGGATTTAGACTGAGAAACCTGTTCCTTGACTCTGTCTCTGAGAAAACTATACATGTGTTGCAAACATGAAGGTGTAACTTGCATATGCATGTGCAAACGTCCTCCAAACCTCC